ATGGAAGATTTTTCCATTTTTTAATGTCTTCTATTTCTTTCTTTAATGCTTTATAATTTTCATTGTAGAGGTCTTGACATCCTTGGTGAAATTTATTCCAAGGTATTTAATTTTCTTTATAGCTATTGTGAATGGGATTGATCCTGGAAGTTCTTTCTCAGCTGTGGCATTGTCCGTGTATACAAAGGCTGTTGATTTTTTGGTGTTAATTTTATATCCTGCCACTTTACCAAATTCATTTATTAGTTCAAATAATTTCTCAGTGGAGTCTTTTGGATCCCCTCTAAATAATCATGCTATCAGCAAATATGGATAGTTTCACTTCATCTTCCCAATTTGTATCCCTTTGATTTCTTTTTCTGGCCTGATGACTTTGGCTAAAACTTCCAGGACTATATTAAATATTAATAGTGAGATTACATATCCTTGTGTGGCTCCAGATCTTAGTGGGAAAGCTTTCAATTTAATAAGTTGCTGATTGTGAGTTTGTCATAGATTACCTTGATTGTGTTGAGGAATGTTCCCTGTATACCCAATTTGCTTAAGGTTTTCATCATGAAACAGTGTTGTATTTTATCAGATGCTTTCTCTGCATCTGTTGAAATAATCATATGGTTTGTTCTTCAGTGTGTTAATGTGATATATCATGTTGATTTGCGAATGTTGAACCATCCTTGCATACAGGATAAATCCCACTTGGTCCAGGTGAATGATCTTTCTGATGTGTTGCTGGATTCAATTAGCTAGCATTTTATTGGGGATTTTTGTGTCTGTTCATCAGGAAAATTGATCTATAGTTCTCAATATCTGTTGTATCTTTTTCTTGTTTAGGAATTAAGGCGATCCTTTCCTCATAGGAGGAGTTTGGGAGGATTCCCTCTTTTCAATTGTTTTGAATAGCTTGAGAAGAAATTATTGGAATTAGTTCTTTTTTAAAAAAAGGATTTTATTTATTTGAGAGGTAGAGTTATAGACATAAAGAGGAAGAAACAGAGAGAAAGCCTTCCATCTGCTGATTTACATCCCAAATGGCCACAGGTGCTGGAGCTGAGCTGATCTGAAGCCAGGCGCTTCTACGTGTCTCCCATATGGGTACAAGGGCCCAGGCATTTGGGCCATCTTTGACTGCTTTCCCAGGCCCGTAAGCAGAGAGCTGGATGGGAAGAGGAGCAGCCAGGCACGAACAGGTGCCCATATGGAATGCCAGCACTGCAGGTGTAGGCTTTAGTCTACTATGCCACAGTGTCAGCACCTAGTTCTTTTTTACGTCTAGTAGAATTCAGCAGTGAAGCCATCTGATACCAAATCAGCAGCTGCTGAATAAAGACATCAATAAATAGGTTTGTAAATGCTTAACAGTTTAAGAAAACCAGTTAGATGTGTTTTATGCATTGCACTATCCCTGTAATCTGGAAAAGCTCTGGACATACAGTACATCCCCTTCACACATTTGTTCAAAGTAAAGTGGCCGTGTACTCTCCATGTGCTTAGAATTACTGGAACGCAGTGGAGGCTTATCACTTCCACCTGGGCTTGTCTGGGAAGGCTCATGGAGGCGTTTGATTTTAATTGTTAAAAGAGTGGGAGGGCTGTTTAGAAACAGGGAATGATGTGGAGTCCCCTAAAAAGATGTTGAAAACTGTGTATGGCAGTGAGGCAGTGGGAGGTGGTCAGATTGCAAAGACAAATTTTGGAAAGCATTGGAAGACAAGCTTAACTTTCCCTGTAGAGTGGAAAGTCTGGGGGTATTTTAGAGATGTTAATCTAGAGGTGTGATAACCAGATGCATTGAAGAAAGGAGAAACTGTCAAGTCCACATTGACAGGGCTCAGTATTAAGTGGGTTGATGAGAAAGGAACACAAAGATGGTGACAGTCTTGTTTTGAGCTTGATTGACTTGCATAATAGTGAAAGCTAAACAAAAATAGGACAGCCAGAAGGGAGAATTAGCATTTTTTGGGGAAGCTTTTTGTGTTTTAAAATCTCCTAATGTTTAAAGTTACAGGAACACTTCATTGTGGACCCTTATAAATCACAGAATTACAATATTAGACTTGAGAGGGATCTTGGAGATTGAGTTATTAATTAAATTCAAATGCCACAGCCCTGGTATCTTACCGAAGAGAAAGCTGGTAGGTTCAGGAACAGCCCACAGGAACTCTGGCCTAGAAACACAACATGAATAGAGTGACAAGTTCAGAGAGCCAGTTCTAGTATGTGTGTGTGTGTGTGTGTGTGTTTAAGATATTATTTGAGAGGCAGAGTTATAGACAAAGAGAAAGGTCTTCCATCTGCTGGTTCACTTCCCAAATGGCCACAACAGCAGGAGCTAGGCTGATCCAAAGCCAAGAGCTTCTTCCAGGTCTCCCATGTGTGTGCAGGGGCCCAGGCACTTGGGCCATCTTCCACTCCCAGGCCATAAGCAGAGAGCTGGATTGGAAGAGGAGCAGCCAGGACAGGAACTGGTGCCCATATGGGTTGCTGGTGCGGGAAATGGAGGCTTAGCCTACTACACCACAGTGCCGGCCCCAATCCCAGTGGAGTTAACAAGCATTCTTTCATTTGAACTTTGATTTTCCCTTTTAAATGTGAAGAGCCCTTAGGTAAGTAGTTTTAGGTACCATATTTGGTGATGTTATCTATACAACATAAGCACTTGTGTTGTGAGAGTAAGATAAAGTCCTTTAAGTATTAAGCAATATACTCATTCTTACTGCAATATAAACTTGCCTCCCAATTAAGTGACATTATTAATTATTTTCTTTATCTTCCTTTTAATAATATCCTGACATTTGTTTTTAGTATGTTATATACAGTTATCACTGAGTTGAAGTTTATTCAACTCTAAACACATTTTTTATTGCAAATGTTCTATCTTGCACTATTGGGTCTTTGGTGCCATATTGTCACATTTGTGGGGAAAGCCTGCTACCATTAGCATCTCTGTCTGGGCCTTAACCCATCCTCCCTTCTACTTGGGTGTCACTGGGAAGAACAGGACTGGTTATAGGTAGACTTGGTCCTACACGTGTTACAGACAAGTGGTAGGGCTCTGAAGGAAAGTTGGGCTGGGTCTCACCTTGGGCATACCTCTTCAATGCTTTTAACATGAGAAGATGGAAAAGCTTCCTGCTCACACCCTTTGTGTCTGCCTGTACTAGGATCAGAGATGCAAGTGCATGACTGGCTTTGCCTTCTGAAGCCCCTGAGTGATCTCCAAAACTGAGCTTGCCAAATGTGTGGGCATTCTGATGACTTCTTTGCCTCCAACCATCTGACTGCCCAGGGCTACAGCTTAATAGAGCGAGATGAGGGCCTGGATGGAAGGCTGAGCTGCTTTCCCAGTTAAAGGAGACAAGGAAGAGAGTGGCTGGGAAATGTGTGTCGCATGAGAATAGTTGGGAACCAGCTCTTGTATAGTGAAATGAACACTGGGATAATTAAACCTAGATCTTTGCTAGTTGGGAAGAAAAACAGCTGTAAAGTATTAACATCTAATAATTTATCATCACGAGCCTAACTCTTCTTTGAAGAAAGTCCTATTTCTTAAATTGCAGTGATAGCCCTGAGAATAAAAAGAATATTCGTTTTACAAGCTGATTTTCAACCAGTTCCTAACAGTGGTAACTGCCTTTGTCTTCATGGGAAGGTGGAGGATTTAACACTCAAACTATAAGCCAAACATTTTAAAATCCTAAGTGATGACATGATCAGGAAAGCTAGATTAGCTGAGATTTAGCCTTGGAGAAGGCAAGGCACGCACAAGTGTCCTTGGTAAACTCAGGTGGGGGGCACATGCACTTTAATAGTAGTGATTAGCCTTGAATGAGAGAACAGCAGAAATTCCATGTAGAAACGGGGAGCTGCCATCATTGTTAGCTAGCATATTTCCCAGATTGTGAGAGGTGAACTACTTTTCAACCCAAAGACTTCAGGAATAGGCAGACTCCTGCTTCTGCAGATACAAAATGAAAAGTCAACCCCCTAGTCTTGTAGATCTAATTGACCAGACTTAAGGACACTTGATCTTTTTCACTAACTGAACAAGCTGGGCCTTGCATGCCGAGTTTCTATGGCAATATGACTCAGTGACCTCTCTTCTCTGTTGTGGAATGTAGGTGAAAAGGATGGAGGGGAGCCTGACGATGCTGAACTGTTGAGGCTCAGTAAGAGGCTGGTGGAGAATGCGGTGCTCAAGGCTGTGCAGCAGTATCTGGAAGAAACACAGAACAAAAAGCAGCCAGGGGAGGGGAGCTCTGTGAAAACTGGCGAGGCTGAGCGGAATGGCAATGACAGTGATCACAACAGGAAATGAGGCCGGAACACAGGCTCCCGCTGCGCTGTGGAAAGCATCCCTGCTCCCTTCTGCTGAGTCCAGGGACTGACTTGCAGTGTGCTGTTTGTCTCGTGTCCAATCCGTGGAGATTGCCTACTACTTTTCATGACCGACGTGTTTGCATTTCTGGAACACAACAGAAGAGAAAGAGTGCTGGCACTAGCCGAGGAAATTAATTTATGAAAGAAGAATGGCCCGCGTTTCATGTGCCCTCAGCTATGCACAAGGGAGAGAGGGGACTTTGGGTTATGCCTCCTGGACTCAGATTAAAGGCCATAGGAGAGGCCTTGCCATAAATGGAATCCTGCCATTTATATTGCTTAGCAGGGCATTCAACTATTTTATCTGAGGCCAAAACTCACACACAGCTCTCAAGTGCTAAGCGTAAAAGAATCATTGTTGAGATTATCCATCTGTACAGTTAGTCCCTAATATTTTGAGTTTGTCCTAAGTGTGCTGTCACTATGCATTGATCCTGATTTACAGTAAATTATGTTTGATGTATATATTTTTATATATTTTTGGCAAAATGCAACCTTTTCTATAAAATGTGAGCAACATTTTAAAGGTTTTTTTAATCCTATTTTGATAAGTCAGTGTGCCATGTTTGATGTTTTCCATTGACATTTGTATGTTAAATTTTTTGTATAATTTTTTTCCTTAGGCAAGAAACCAATTGAAATCCAAGACTTAATTAACGAAGCTTTGCATCGAGAAAGAATGAAATTGAAGTCCAAAGTGAAACAGATAAAGGAACTTTTATTAAAGCCGGAGACTCAGGCTAAAATTAGGAGGGAGCTTTTTGAAGAAAGACTTATTCACAATAATCAAGGAAATGATGTTGATTTCAGTATGACTTTGACGTAAGCACTACGTGATAAAATAGTTTATGATATATTTTCAGATTACTAAATAGCTCTTTGGTGAATGCCAAAGAACTGTTCTGGTAGTGTTTGCACAACAGCAAACCAATACTTGGTAAGGAATTAACAATTTCTTGCCAAATAATACTGACTTTGTGCCCCCCCCCCCTTTTAGCTAAACTTGTGTCTTAAAATGTTTTTTTTCTGTAATGTTATTTCATAGAGATTACTTCTTAATTAGCTGTTGTGAGATGTTCCTCGGGTCCTTGCAGGTATAAACAGACTGTGAAAAATTATTTACAGACTAACAACAACAATACAACTCAAACCCAACACTATTTTAGGGTCCCCTGCCCTCTCTTAATCTGATTGCTGTTGTTAAATCAAGATAAGCATTGTCTCCATGTTTATATATCTAGTGTAACTTTTAAGGAGAATTTGAATGTTTATTGAACATTAGTACTTGAAAGAAGATTTATAAATGTAATAATTGCAATTACTGATTAAGTGATATATGGATATATGGATATATAATATCCATATGTGTTATTTTTCACTGATCAAAATGAAGTTTGCTTTTTCATTTCTTCATGAATGAATGTTTTGGACTTTTTTTTATACTTTTTTGAGGTTAAGGCCCAGGTCTTACCATATCCCTGGTAATCCAAATTTGTTTGCACTGATTCATTTTTAAAGAGCGTTCTTGAAAAATGTTCTATAATGGTGGTTATTGGTAATGGCTTTTTCAAGTCATTGTGAAATTGCTGCTACTAATAAATCATGACAGAAGGGGAAATGACTGGACATCAAATATGTAATCATTTCAAATATAGACTCCACTTTGCTCATGGATTTTTAGCTATTTTTTCACAGGGTATATTATACTGCATTTATTTATAAATGAGTTTATGCATTTTCATGTCTCTTAATAAATGCATTGTTTTCCCTTGTTGCCTTTTCTCATTTATTTCCTCACTCACGGAAGTTGTTGGAGTTGTGTTGGGACAATGAAGCCATAAGCAGGAGCCCTGATTATTTCACTGTTTCTTCACTTTTATATCCCTGTCCTTCATACTAAGATAGTATAGTTGCCAAGGCACCCTCAAGTTTAGAATTTTAAATCATTTCAAATCAGCACGCTTCATATGATATTAACAACAAATCATTAAATTAAAAAAAAAAGCTAAGCAGCATCTTATAAACAGATAATTGTGTGTCCCTGAAGTGACTTGGATAGCAAAGGTGAAAGGGGAGGATCCATCCGTTGCTGCTCACCATGAATCTTTTCTGTTTGTAGATCCCTCCTTAAGTCGACCCTTGGGATAGAAAGCACACGTATTTTTATTCTTGCCTTTTCAGTTGAGGAAACACACATGCCAAGAGGTCAGTGCCTTATCCAAGGCCGCTCTGCTATTAGGGAACTGGTTTTGAACTGCAACCCAGGTTCGTATCTCAGTGTTCCAGTACTATTTTCACCATCCCATCATCTAAGTTAACAGTATTTCAGGAGAGGTAGCTTTTCTCAGCATGTGTCTATAAATATCCTCCAGGAGCAATTCCCAAACCATCTGAATAATTTGAAAGCCTAAAAATAGTATACTTTTTGCAATCTAGGGTTTCACTTCTGTAATTTTAGTTGAGACTCAATTTCCATTTGTTAAATACCTGGTAAGGCCCAGGCTGTATTGCCGGTGATTTAGGTTCATAATTAATTTTCTCCCCTCCAGTGACCCTGTTAAGAAGTAATTAGTACTTTTACAGATTAGGAAATTGGGACTGTGTGTGGTTAAATGGCCCAAGGTCATAAAGCTAATAAAAAGTAGGGCTAAATTTAGACTCTGATCTGTTCAACACTCTTTCCACAGTGTGACACTTACTCTTGGTACCAAGTGCAATATATTTCACAAATTAAGGATGTGTAATGAAAGAAAAGTCACTTTTTTTTTTAACTAAACCAGCTTCCTTGAATCCCTGAATTTCTATGAAAATATATGGGGGCAATCAGCTTATGTGATAGAATTAGGAAAAGCACACATCCAGATACTTAATTTAAGGATTAAGGATTCTAATCCTTATCAATGAAATATATCCATTTAAGCAGGTTTATAGACAGTGGAAAGTAATAAAATTTTTTCATTTTCCATTTAAAACCGAACAAAACATTAATTTGTAAAAAAATATAAGTTTGGGATCTCATGTTTTATATGACTATATTCCCATGGATCAGAGCCATGAAAATGCTCATTGAGTCACTTAGCAAGAGTATGTTGTCCTCAACTGGTACTGTATACGTTATAGCCTTGTCTTCTGACAGTCAGTTTGCATAGTTTGAGACAGAGTGCCTGCTGGGGCTAGAAGGTACACTGTGGCTTCTAGAGTTGGGTCCACCACTGACGTGTGAACTTGAGCAAATCAGATCACTTTTCTGAGTCTTGCTTATCAACTCGTAGTTTGAAAAGTTTGGGCCAGGTCATTTCTAAGGATTGTAGAGCACTGTACTCTTGTCAGTGCCACTGTCTCTGCTGCCACTAGGGAAAACCTTCTTGACTGGGCCGCATAAGTCCATCTGTTAGGAATAGAGGCTTAGAGTTCTCGAATATTTTATATTCTTATTCCCTTGTGTTAGTTTTTAACTTCAAAGAATTCCCAGTGGCAACATATTCATATTTGTAACCAAGATCCAAGTTTTTGGGGCATCAGTCAATGAAAAAATAGTAGATCCTATGTGAAATTTTCTTTTTGATTAACATAATACTTGTACATTTTTATAAGGTACAATAAAATATTTCAACTCATATATACAGCATAAGTTGGTCCAGCCATGTAATTAGCATAATTAGCATTTCCATTTCCTTATCTGTGTCTGGAGCCTGTAAGTCCTCTCTTTTAGGTCCTCATACAATGTGTAATGCAGTATTCTGAACTGTAGTCTCCCTGCTGCTATGGAGCCCTCGAATTTATTACTTGTATTTGACAACATTTTGGTCTGACCTCCCTCTATTCCCACTCTTCCTACCCTTGCCATTCTATAGTAGACACTATTCTGAGTTGATATTGACTTTAAAATCTCCTTCTACATATGAGAGAGAACATTGGTATTTTCCTATGTCTGTCTTATTTCACTTAATCCCAGGTCCATCCTTTTTGCTGCAAATGTCAGGATTTCCTTTTCTTTTTTAATTGGCTGAGTAATGTTCCATTGTGTGTGTGATATATGTATATGTATCCATTCATCCATTCATCCCTCCCTGGACACCTAGGTTGACTCCATATTTTAGCTATAGTGAGTAAGGCTGCAATGAAAAAGGGAGTGTAGATGTCTCCTTGATACATGGATTTCATTCCCTTTGGATACATACCCAGAATTGGGATAGCTAGGCCATAGGCTTCTACATGAATATTTTGAGGGATGTCAAAGAGTAGTAGTATTTTCAGCAACAGGACAAGATTTGAATTTAGTTCTATTTACAGATTTTTAGATTATTATTATATCAGTCTACTTCTCAGTGTGGACTATAGAACTTTGAGATGCACTAGAGTTAAAACTAGAGCATACTTATGATACAAGCTGTTCACTCCAAAACCCCAAAAGAGTCACTTCCCCATCATCCCAACAACCAGATGTTCTGTAAGGAGGTAATTAAAACAGTTTGACTTCATGCTGTAGACGTCCTTTTAGGCCCAATACCAGTAAGATGTATTTGCTCCTCTGTACTCACTCATAGGTACATAAACCAGCAAACTGAGAACTTATTTCATTATACAATGACAACAAACCTATAGTATCTCCAAACATGACTGATAAATGAATAACCTGCCATCATTCATTATTTCAAAAATTCAAGTCTTGTTGAGGTTGATTCGTTCTGAGAGGAGGAGCGTGGTGGGGGCAAGAGGCACGGAGTCACCACTCAGACCCCGGGAGTCGGGTGAAAGCAGGCCAGAGGCGAGCACCACAGGCTTGTTTATTGTAGTTGGTACAGCAGCTTAAATAGCCAAGGCAGCCAGTCCAGTCAAGGGGGCGGTTTATGCCCTAACCAATCACAGCCTGTTGCCAGACAGGCTCCGTTGCCAGGTGGGTTTCGAAGCCATTCCTGAGTAACTGACACTCGCTTGCCAGCAGCCATCTTGGCCTGGCCTTCTCATTCCACCACAAAGTCTCACCTAAATGAGCTATGTATTTAAACAAACTGTATGTGCATTCCTGACTTCCAATTTTTTCCATGTAGATCTCATATAATAATAAATAAGCCTGGTGTGTTTTAAAAATAGATTCTGGGTCCCTATATGAATTTGACAGTAGTACACATAGCAAGACAAACCCCTATTCATTTGCAATAAAAAAATGAATATTAGAGCAATCCACTCAGAATCAGGTCATTTAAAATTGATACCAGCTGTTGGACTTCTTTCCTAGATCACTGTATTGGGGATAATAAGGCTTATTTATAAGGTAATTTGAAAGCTTTGAAGGAAGGTGTGATTATCATTTCCAGTGTAGTGTGGCTGAAACTATTTATTTGTATCCATTAAACATAGCTGATGAATTCATTTGGGATGGTTTCAAAACGTAAGCTAATAGGTATTCCCCTACAGATTCCATCATTCATCACTTAGTGGAAGACCACGATCCTGTGACAGCATCAAAGATAGGAATAATAAAATTGAGAAATTAATTCATTATTTCCAGGAAACCTGTGTTGCTTTCCCTTTAATGATTCAAATCATTTCTGGAAAGCGAATATCCTATGACACGGAACTATATGTCATATGCTTTGTCTCGTCTTAGAGCCCTGCTTGTCGTACTTCCAACTTAGGCAGCTTTATGGTATTTCAGCTCTTGTTCTTCAGTGACCGTATAACAAATTGGTATAACACTTCACATTACTCCACAGCTCCTGCCCAGCCCCCGCCAGGCACAATGTCACCGTGATGTCTGAACCAAGTGCGCTGTAATTTCTTCACTGATTTTTTTTTCTGACCACGTCCATTTTATCTTACCCATTGTTTCAGAAAAAAATCCTTTTGAAAACACTCGTGTGGGATGTATAAAGTTGTAGGAGGTGAGAGGACAAAGAAACAAGTCCCTTTGCAGCTGGATAAGAATTACAGTGCTTTGGAAAGACACAAAAATGACACGCATTAATCCAAAGAATACCTCATATGGAAATGGGACTGCAAAAAATAGATGAATATGCAACAATGGGGAGAGACACAGGATATCTTTTTAAGATTCTGGAAGACAAATTGAGAAGCTATTTTTAACAGGCTCATGCTTGGTTAGTGTCCTTCAGCAATGGCATGTGGCATGGGCTTTGAATGGTTTGGTGAATATTTCTCATACTTCCTGACAGCCCAGCATCTTGTGAACACCTCTCCTGTATTTATGTAGCTTCCCATCTTCTGAGCTTTGCTTCTCCAGGGTAGAGGCCCCAAGGTAGAAGCCTGGAGCTCGCCTTCTCCACCTTCTGTGTCACTACTGGGGTTCAGACATGGGGTCTGAGCCCTCCAGGCAAGAGGGAAACCTTACATGGAGGCAACGCATCTGACAAGGATGATGAAGAGAGAACCAGCTCTAAGAAGCAGTAATGGCCAAGGCACCATCCCATGAGTAGGCAGTCCCAGCTGGCACAGAGTAGAGACAACAGTGTCCCCTTGGAGCAGCTGGCAGTGTAGTGGGGAATTGTTACAGCTGTTTGTCTACTTAGCCTGATTCTCAAGACCTTTGGGAATTCTGTGAGCCACTGAATATAATTTTATGTATCTTTTCCACTTAAGTTCATTCTATTGTTTGCACCTACAACTTCTGACTAATACTGGGTACATTTCATTACATCAGTATTTCAACATTGGCATTTTGGATTGTGTACTGAGTAGTACGTAACAGTACAGTGTGCTCTAGAAGTTGGCGTTCCTGACCCAGGCGCTAAATACCAGCAGCACCCTCCG